TGTCCACTCACTTTTCAGCCCACTCCAATCTAATGTCTTCATAGTCCTTCCAATGAAACTGATTACCAAGATCACCAATCACATCACAACAGCAAACCCAAAACCTCACCTACTCCATCTGACCCATTCTGATACACTGCTACTCTCCTGCATATACTGGCCTCTTTTGGTTCCTATGACACCACTTTCTCCTGGATTTCCTGCTGCTTCTCAAATCTCCCATCAAGTCTTATCTGTTGCCCCCTCCCTACCCAACCAACCTCAGGGGTCTTCTTATTCTATAGTCTTATTAACAAGGTTTCTGATCTTTCAATGTATCACGAATCTTCCTGGCACCTGATGAACCCTATGGACTCCTTCTTAGAATATTTTTTTAAAGATATAAAATGTGAAGAGTTACAAAAGAAACCAATTCTACTGAAATACAGTTTTCAAAATATAAAAATTGCACTATGGGGACGCCTGGGTGGCTCAGCAGTTGAGCTGCCTTCCGCCCAGGGCAAGATCCTGGAGTTCCGGGATCAAGTCCCACATTGGGCTCCTGGCATGGAGCCTACTTCTCCCTCTGTCTCTGCCTCTCCCTCTGTCTCTGCCTCTCCCTCTCTCTCTCATGAATAAATAATCTTTTTTTAAAAAAATTGCACTATGTGCTTCTTTTTTGATATACCGTTAATATGTTAAAAAAAAAACAGGATCTAATCATGGCTTTAATAACTGTATTGCAATTAAGGAGTAGAGGTAAGCATAAATGCTGTTTTGGGATAGCAGTATCCATCATAATGTGTATTAATTTCCATTGGTGACAATATAACAAATATTATTAATGCTACTGTGAAATGGAAGGAAATGCTAAATTTCAGTTAGAGGTTAGTAAATAAGAAAAGTTTTCTCAACCAAGTTTGTGGAATCTAAATTCTATAATGAATCCCCATGAGGTTCCTGAACCCGCCCCCCCCCCAAGTAAGACCTATATACCAGAAGATCTTAGCAGTTCTCATGGCTTCAGAACCACCCATATGCCAAGGACTTCTGGGTTTGTATCTGCAAGCCAGACCTCTCCTCAGTTCAAGCTGGAATGTCCAACTTCCTACCGTGTATTTCACAGGCATCTTAAACTTAACACCTTCCTGTGTCAAAGAAGCCAGGCCTGTATTCTTGAATCTCCTCCCTACTCAATCCCTTTTTCTTTTTTCTTTTTTTTTAAGGTTTTATTCATTTATTCACGAGAGACACAGAGAGAGAGTGAGGCAGAGACACAGGCAGAGGGAGAAGCAGATTCCATGCAGAGAGCCCGATGTGGGATTCGATCCCGGGACTCCAGGATCACACCCTGGGCTGAAGGCAGGAGCTAAACCGCTGAGCCATCCAGGGATCCCCTCTCAACCCCTTTTCTATACCATTCTCCCCATCTAAATGGGCCAGCACATCCTAAGTTACTCAGGGCAGAAACCTGAGGTCAACCTTGACACCATCATCCTTGCCAAAATGTCAGTCAGTCCCATGGGCTCTAACTCCACAACGCCAAATCCACCTGCTGCTTTTCATACTGCCACACTCCTTCATGCCATTGCTCTCTCTCTTGAATTGCCATAAGATTTTCCTAATCTGGGATGCCTGGGTGGCTCAGTGGTTGAGTGTTTGACTTCGGCCCAGGACGTGAACCCGGAGTCCTGGGATCAAGTCCCACATCGGGCTCCCTGCATGGAGCCTGCTTCTCCCTCTGCCTGTGTCTCTGCCTCTCTCTCTGTCTCTCTGTCTCTCTCATGAATAAATAAATAAAATCTTAAAACAAAAAAAAGATTTTCCTAATCTCCCTGATTTCTCTTAACACATCCTCCACTATATACCACATCATAGCTGAAATTTATATTTTTAGAATATAAGTAAAATTAGGTCATAACCTCACTTAAAACTCTGCAATGGCTTTCTAATTCTGTCAAGATAAAATGCAAACTCCTAACCGTGGCCTGCATGATTCGGCCCCACCTGCCTTTCCAGTCTCATCTTCTTCCTCCTCACTTGCTCCATTCCAAACACACTGGTGTTCTTTCAATCCTCAGGACACACTAAGGTATTTCTACTTAAGAGCTTCTGAACACACAGTAACGCCTGTTTTAAACACTCTGTTCCATACTCTTGGAATGACCAACTCCATGGCACCCTTCAAGTTTCAGTGTAAAATTGTTTCTATTTGATACCCTTGGTTATTCTGTCACAGCCCTCTCTTTCTTGCTTTCCTAGCATATGCCTTACTTTGTGACAGTTATTTGCTTACCTGTTTATTATCTTCTCCCATAACCAGAAAGATACATCAGTAACGGCAGGAGCCATTTTACTTCCTATGTATCCAGGACCTAGAGCAGTGCCAAGTTAATGGAAAATGCACACAATACATATTTGTTGAATGAATATGGTCCCTGCCCTCAAAGCACTTTCTATGAGGGGCAACAGGACCCAGAAGGTTCTCCAGAAAATATTTGATAGAGTGATTCCATGATTCTATTTAACTTTCTCAACCATAATTCTTTGAAGAATTGTGCCCTGGGGCCTCATTTTGGGAGAACTCTCCACCAGATTGCTGGAAATATACAAGAATACTATTTCTGTCAGCAGCAGAAGAAAGGACAGTAGTCAAAGAAACTTCTCAGGAAAATAAGTTTTGTGCCCACTGTGCTGAAGAATGAAAAACTCTTAATAGCAAAGAGAGGCAAAAATGTAATTATAATTCTATGTAACTTTATCAACATTGAAATCACATAAGAGGGCATGATGGCATGGATGGACTGCACAATCTCTAAGGAGACAAGCACTACTTCTAAACTTAAAAAATAAAGAAACAACAGCTGTTCTTTTTCTACCAAAGGGACTCTTAAATCACAGTACAAATCCCAGGAAGTCTACTTCTATGCTACTTTTCTGTAGAGCATTGGTTCTCAACCAAGGCAATTTTGCCCTTTAGAAACCATCAGGTAATATCTGGAGACATTTCTGGTTGTCACAACTCAGGGAGGGAGTGAGGGGTGCTACTGGCATCTGGTGGATATAGACCAGGGATACCATTAAACACTCTACAATGCACAGGACAATACCCACAACAAACAACTATTTCTACCCCAAATGTCAACAATAACAAGGTTGACAAACCCTGCTGCAGAGCAGTATGTCATCAAAACCTTAACATGATATAACTGAAATGCATTTATCATTTCTGGGAGAACATGTAAGAAACTATTAACAGTGATTGTCTCTGGGGAAGGGCACCGAGAGTTTGGGGGAAAGGCAGGGATAGGAATAATTAGTTTTAAAATATATATATACCCTTTTGTGCCTTCTGCATTCTGCACCATATGTACATGTTACCTGTTCAAAAAATAAAAATAATCAAAAAATAGTCAGTGTGGCTCAAAACTATGGTCTCAACTCTAGCTTCAACTCATAGAACATTACCAAAAAGAAAACAAACAAAAAAAAAACCCTCAAGACCTATGTTGTAGATGAATCTTGAATTAAGAGTTAGAAATTTGGGGGGATCCCTGGGTGGCGCAGTGGTTTAGCGCCTGCCTTTGGCCCAGGGCGTGATCCTGGAGACCTAGGATCGAATCCCACGTCGGGCTCCCGGTGCATGGAGCCAGCTTCTCCCTCTGCCTGTGTCTCTGCCTCTCTCCCTCTCTCTCTCTCTCTGTGACTATCATAAATAAATAAAAAAAAATTTAAAAAAAAATGAAAAAATAAAAAAAAAAAGAGTTAGAAATTTGGGGATGCCTGAGTGGCCCAGTTGGTTAATTAAGCATCTGCCTTTGGCTCAGGTCATGATCCCAGGATCCTGGGATGGAGCCTTGCATCAGGCTCCTTGCTCAACGGAGAGTCTGCTTCTCCCTCTGCCTCTGCCCCTACCTCCCCACTCGTGCTCCCTCTCTCTAATAAGTTTTTTTTTTTTTTTTTTTTTAGTTAGAAAATCTAGGGGTGCCTGGGTGGCTCAGTTGGTTAAGCACCTGACTCTTGATCTCAGGTCAGGTCTTGATCTCAGAGTCGTGAGTTCACGCCCTATATTGGGCTCCACACTGGGCATGGAGCCTACTTTAAAAGAAAGAGAGAGAGAGACAGAGAAGATCTGAGTTTTGTTACTCTAAAGTGTGGAACAAAGCACTAAACCCAGAGCCCACTTCCTCACACGCAGAATGAGAGGACAATGTGCCCTACTCCATGTACCTAGAACTATGAAGATCAAATGAAACAATGCAGGTGAAATATTCTATGAACTATTAAGAGCCATACAAACACATTGCAGTCATTATTTTTCTAAAGGTCCTGGTATTATAAAAGAACAAAGCTAAAGATGATAAATGAGACCCTTTAACATTATTCCCTTTCTAAATTACACATTATTTCATTATCACTGGGGCTTTGGAAGCTGTTCCCTGTTAATTGCACTACTATTTTCTATTTATGCTGCCTACCCTAAGGTGCTGAGCAACTCAAGGGAAAGGTCTTATGGTGAGCCACACAAACTATAGGTGGTCAATACTGACTTGATGATTCGCATGATTATAATAAAGGTTAAGAAGAAAAACCTTTTTCTTGAATCACTCAATTTGTGACAAAATAAGTAGAGGTGAGGAATTTTGGCTCTGCTAAACTTCAACAATAACCCTATGATTAGCTGTCTCAATAAAGAAAGGACACAAAAAACACTCATCAATACAAAACATGCACAGCTTAACCATCCTCTCTCTTGCCTAACAGCTGGGCCACATGGGCACAGGCCAAAAAACTAGGTCTCTTACTCATGAAATCACTGAGTCATGAAAATAACACTTCCAGTACTCATGACTTTGAATGTCAAGGACAGTATGTAGGAGCTGCCTGCAAAAATGATTAATGCTAATGATGTTGTAAAGTTCTCTAGTTTTAGCAATTCTGAGCAGAATAAATGAGCACAAGAGCACAATGAGTGAGACATCAGTCACTGGAATAGAAAAAGGAAATCGGGGGTGTCTTACGTGATATACTTGTTATAGAGGATGAAGGCATGTTCAATGTTGCCTTCCTCAGAGTAAATGGATGCCATTCGGATAATCTCGACTCCAGAGCGGAAGTACCGTCGGGGTGGAATGTCTTCATTTATCTCCACTGTGCTACCCATCTGGGACAGGGCTCTCACCCGGTCTTCGGGCGGAAGGCTCACATCTCCATGGTCAGACATCAGGACCAAGAAGTTCTGAGACAGAAAAAACAGGTGGTATCAGTACCATAGTTCTCATCACCCCAGCACAGCCTAGCACACGGTATGGTTATCCCACAAACTTCTACCTTATGAAGAAATTAAGAGAAAAATACCAAGCACTGTGGCTTGAATCAAATAAGGTCTCTTTCCCACAAGAAGGCTGAGACCCTCAAGAAGCCCATATCACAATGATAAAAGCATTGGCCAACTCAAAAGCCTACAATACCTGTGCCATAATTAGGTGGTACAGGGAGTAAAACTGAAATGGGGGTTCTCTTATACCTTTCATACTAATCATTCCCTATCATTAGATAGCTTTGCTCTCAGTATCATAAAAGGATGAATGGCATCTTATATTTTTTGCATGATTTCTCCTACCAGCTACCCACTTCCATCTACCCAGTACGTGGCATAGTATATCAATGAACTTTCATGAGGACTGTTAACTGATTTCAAGTTTGTTCATTTTTATTTAATGACAATAACTCAACATCTTTCCGTGGTGTACTTTTTCATATCTGAGCACAAGGTAAGGGGAAATGGCCTGGAATGAATGCCCACAACCCTAGTTCTGTGCACTTAAACACTATTCCAGTCAATCCACAACATCATTCATTACGACAGATTAAGGAATTTAGATGTAAAAAAACAAAAACAAAACCCTTACGTAAATCTATCTTCAAAGACTAAGCACTCTTCAAATAACAAAAAGGGCACAAAGATAACTTAGGATGCAAAGATGGACCAGCAAAAAACCCCAAGGGTTTTCCCTCCCTGTGTTTCAAACTGCAGTAATTCTACAATCTTTCTAGATCTGTTAGATTCCAATTCCCAAACGGTATCAGTCTATATCATTTTCAAAAAGAATCTGGATATTCGTTACAGATTGAATTACAGCACACCCTGGCCAGCATGCTCTAGAATAAACAAACCATCGAAGAATACGTTTTGGAATTCAAGGCCCTATGTCAATTGACCCCATTTTGTCTTTTTAGTCTTAAACTTCACTCCTTCCCAACAGAGATCTTTTGTTCTCTCAGAATTCTGATCTGCCCAGAAATCCTCACATGTGTTTAATTTTTCTGTTTCCTCACTATTTTTCTGTTTCCCACTCCGCGCCCTCCCTCGGAGAGGCTTCTCTTGGCCAGTTCTAGCTCGAGGTCACACTTCCCCCAAACTTCCCCTCCAAACACTCTCAAGAATAGCACAAAAGCTGTGCGGACGACCGGGGATGCAGAGGTATTCCATCTCCCCCCAAAGCCGGTTTAGAGGCTCAGAAAGCCGCCAGCAACTCTAAAACCTTCCCAGCTGGCCTAATTCGTAAACTCGATCCAGAGCCCATTAAAGCTAACTGAAGCTTGTTGTGCCTCAGTACCTCTGCGGAAGAGGATCTGCGGGGTCGAGAATGGAAGACCCTCCCAAGACCAGCAAGCGGTGCCCGGGGCTAGAAGGCTAAGCAACACCCCACAAAGAGCAGATGCGGCATCCCCCAAAAGGGGGAAAGGTGGCACAAGGGGCTGAGGAGTTAAGACGAAGAGGAGGTCAAAGGAAGTGGCAAGCGTGAGCGGAGGGCCCTCCTGACACCCGCTTGAGGGCCCCTTCTTGAAGGCCCTCAAGCCCAAGTTGCCAACCCAGGGCAAAATTAGCCTGGTTTTCGGGTCTTCAGAGCGCGGCGGGCGGGGACGCGCTGGGCCTGGCTGGGACCGGAGCCGTCAGTGGGCTCGCGCGCGGCGGGCCGGGCAGAGGGCGCGGGGAAGGACAAGGCTGCAGGCCCCACAGTCACCGCGGCCGCTCCCCTTCAGATTCCCACCACATTCCCGGGACCCTTCCCCACCTGTCCCCGCGGACGCCACTCCGAGCTTCCGGAAACGTCACATCCGGCGCCCGCGCCCGCGCCCGCGCCCGCGCCCGCCGCTCTACCCATTTCACGCTCAAGAACACAGAGCCTGGGAAAGCGAGCTGGTGGGCGGGGCCAGAACCACCACCTGCGAAAAAACCAACCAATGAGGAGAGAGCTCGACGACGGCCATCTTGGTAAAGGAAAAGCAACAAGGAAGAAGGGGAAGCAAATAGTTAAAAGAACCAATAAGCAAGTTAACGTGTTATTAGAATTAACTTGGTTTGGGGTCGAGTTTCCTGCCAGATAGCCCCTGTGCCACATTCACACAAATCCACAAATCAACGTTCAAGAAGGGATTGTTTTTTTTTAATAAATTAATTTTTATTGGTGTTCAATTTACCAACATACAGAACAACACCCAGTGCTCATCCCGTCAAGTGTCCCCCTCCGTGCCCGTCACCCATTCACCCCCCCCCGCCCTCCTCCCCTTCCACCACCCCTAGTTCATTTCCCAGAGTTAGAAGTCTTTATGTTCTGTCTCCCTTTCTGATATCTCCCACACATTTCTTCTCCCTTCAAGAAGGGATTGTTGATGCAAGTAGCTGGCTAAAGTAACCAGGCTTTCTAAATTGGTGAAAGAAAAACTGAAAATTTCAGTTTTTTTGTGTTACTTCCTACACAAAATGGATAACCTCGGGTATTAGGCAATCGCTTTTATTGCCTAGAAAAGAACTTAAGAGTAACTTTTTAATGTTAGAACACCAATACAATTTATTAAAAATGAGTGTTTAATTTCTAAGGGCCACTGTGCAAAGCAATGTAGACACAAAGATCTGTATGACACAGTTCCTGCCCCTGCAGCCGGGACAGGAGGTTATTTACACCAAATACAAACAGTGACATATTCTGTGTACGGGCGTGTGTATGTGGGAGAACATGCACAGCCTCTTTCTAAAAACGTCCTTCAAGCCTGCTACTCATTCTTTCTCAGGAGATTTTGTATATCACCACTCTGAAACTTTCTGCTCTCCGGGGATACTTTACCCACCAAATATGGAGACCCTCCCTCTAAGTTTGTTAATGTGATGACATGATCTATCCTTCACCATCTTGCTGAAAGCCTCTGCACTGGTTTTACCCCTTCCACTAGGTCAGCATCCAGATCTCTAATTTCTCTGACTTGCTGTTGTGTATCTGTCTCTAGGATTTTCCCAAAGGGATTCTATATGGTCATTGGCTTTTCAGACTTACCGCTGAAAGCCCTTACCAGATTCTTTCTCCCCTACAAGCATAAATATGCATGTCAGTACAAGGATCCACTATCAATTCTCCTGGATCCTCTGCAGATAACAAGACAGTTGTAAAAGGCACTCTAATGGGTCTTCAGAATTATTTTTTCTATTGACACTTTCCCTTCAGATTGTAAACATCATGGGTAGAGCCTTAAGAACTTGAGACGCTAGGGGTGCTGATCATAGGGAAGGCATACAATTTAGTTGGAGCCAACGCAGGACAAAATCCAACCCATTCAACCTCTCCGTAAATATTTGTTGAGCATTTACTATGTGCCAGCTTCTGTTCTAGTTGTTAGGGATACAGCCATGAACAAACCCAGCAGGTAGATATTGTTATTGTGCAAGTACAGGCAGAAGCAGAGCCTGTGGGGGGGGGTGGGGGGACAGAGGCAGCTGTTCCCGTTAAGCACAGTTTCCAGAAACTAAATCTTCTTTGTAATGTTAACAAGTTAACAGAGTTTACAAATGTGCTAGATGTTAAGACTATGATGAGAAGCCTTTACGAAGCTATGAATGGGAAACACAAGGGGTGTGAATAATCTCAAACTCAACAAGTATCACATACAGACTGTCCTTGATACTAGAAAAGAGATATGTCCAGGTGATGCCAGTTCTTAAGATAATGGCTAAGAGGATGCAGTAAATAGGATCTGGTTCATTCGGGGAGGGAATTAGTAAATATTGAACAGTTTTTGGCCTCTGGGGCAAGTGGTCAGCACTCTTGGCTTTGCAGGGACCAGACACAACAAGCAAGAAAACACTGGCCAAGGTCAACAGCTGACATTCTTCATTTTCTGATTAACTAGGAAAGTTGAAAACTGAACAATTTTGTACATGACGAGTAGGAAATTAGCACTACAAGAATTATGTTGGCTCTTGGCATAACTGAAGACAATATTCTACTTACTCCTGCCCCAAAGGTTGGAGGCATCCTGTCACCAAATGTGCTTCAGCAGCTCCCTTGTTGGGCAAAGGCCACGCTAGGAATTATGGTGCTCCTTTCTGGCACCCACACCTAGTCAGTACATTTCCCCTGAATATAACAGTCTCCATATGACCTCTTGCAAAGTTCAGTGTCACAGACTCCTGCACTCCTGTATGTTTATTCCTACCTGATCATTCCTGGGCAGCAGCAAATGACTCCTAAAAGGCAAAATTCTTACCTCAATATATAGCATCAGAATAGAGAGAAAATGCCCACATGGGCTTTGTGGGGAAGCTAAAAACAAGGCACATATCAGCTGCCTCCTTGTTACTCCTATGGTGAATGACATAGCTAGAGGGGCAAGGCAATCTCGTTAGTATAGAAATGACATCCATTCTTACCTACTTCAATGCAATCTTACAACAGCAGATAATATTCTTTTTAAAACAAAAATCGGGTTCTATTGCTTCTGGGTTTAAAACCCTTCAATTACTTCCCATGACACTTGGAATTAAAAAATCCAAACTCGGGGCACCTGGGTGGCTCAGTGGTTGAACATCTGTCTTTGACTCAGGGTGTAATACCCGGGGTGCTGGGATTGAGTCCTGCATCGGGCTCCCCACAGGGAGCCTGTTTCCCCCTCTCTCTGTCTCTCATGAATAAATAAATAACATCTTAAAAAAAAGATCCAAACTCCCCACCCTGGCTTACAGAGTTACTTGACTCCTGCTGTCTCTCTGACTTCAAATCCTACTCTCTCTCTCTTGCTTACTAGTCTCCACCACACTGTCTGAACATCAGCTGTTCCAGTCTAGACATTTGCACAGCTGTTTCCTCTTCCTGAGATGCTCTTACTCTGGTCTTCACTTGGCTGGCTCTATCTTGTAATTCACACATCAGATTACATGTCACCTTCTCCGACCATACACTCTAGGTAGCCACTCAGTCACCCTCTATCACTCAGCCTTGTTTTAAATCTTCTCTTAGTCCTTACCACTGTCCCCTTTGTTCTTTTAGGATCTAGATTGATTATTGTCTTTCATTCCCCTGTAAAATATTATCTCCAGGAAGATAGGGGCTTTTTTTTTTTTTTTTGCTTGCTCCCAGGTATATCCCCAGTACCTCGAGTAGCTTGGGATCCCAGAAGACACTCAATAAAGATTGTTGAATATTCAAATATTGTTAAAATAAATGCTGTCTCACTGTCCCCAAAATTAATTACAAAGATGGCTAGCCAATTATGGTGATAGCTGAAATGAACAATGAAAAATAGAGTCCATTATACTCTTAGATCAAGTCTTCTCTACAAGGCAGTTAGAGCTAGGAGCAGGAAGCCTCCATAACTAGACACCTTCATTAATTGAGCAAGTATTTATTGAGTATGCATCATGTTCAGGACTCTGTCAGGCAATGGGTCTACAATAATAACAAAGAAAAACTCAGTTTTCATTGTTATAAGGCCCTCATGGATGAGAATTTAGAGTCATCCACAGGGAAAAAGGTTTTTAAAAGATGATTAAGTTTCTCAAGGGGATGCTAGTGAACTCCATGCCCTGAAACACTGAAACAGCCTATTTTAATAACTTCCTCTTCTCTCTCTCTCTTTTTTTTTAGACTTTATTTGTTCATGAGAGACACACAGAGAGAGGCAGAGACATAGGCAGAGGCAGATGCGGGCTCCCTGTGAAAAGCCTGATGTAGGACTTGATCCCTGGACTCCGGGATCACGACCTGAGCTAAAGGCAGACGCTCAACTGCTGAGCCACCCAGGTGTCCCCATTTTCTTCTTCTCTTTAAGATTAAAAAAAAAAAGATGTTATTTATTTGAGAGAGAGAGAGAGAGAGAGAGAGCACAAGCAGGGGGAGCTGCAAAGGGAAAGGGAGAAGCAGAATCTCTGCTGAGCAGGGAGCCTGTCACAGGGCTTAATCCTGGGACCCTGGAATCATGACCTGAGCCAAAGGCAGGTGCTTAACCAACGAAGCCACCCAGGTGCCCCGAAACAGCCTATTTTGAACATCTGTAGGGAATGGGAGTCCTCTGAAAGTAGAAATGAAATGTGTACTAATGAGAAATTGTTTACATTGTTAAAATTTTTGCTGTGAACCCATTGGGAATACAAAATGATACATAGAATTTTAAAAATAAATACTTTTTAAAAAGATGTAGAATGCGTTGTTCAAAAAAAGGGGGGAAATGCAGCAAATGTATTGGGATCTTTAATGGTGACATATTGCAACATATACAACATTGCACATCCATGCAAATTATGTTCCTATTCAGTTGATCTTGGAATTAACCTGATGAATAAGTTGTTTCTTGAGAAGATAGCTACAGTAAAATTGGCAACATCAAGATGAATCTGAGGTTTGGAGCTCCACCTATAGTTTGAAAACTGGTAACTGCATTGCCAAGAATTTCTAGTTGGGAAAATTTGTTCTTAGGCATGCTTGGAAAGGTTTTTAATGTGTGTATATTGTTACAATTAATGCTTAAATATATACATAAGGGGTCAGTTTTATTTTAGACATTCTATTCCTTTGTCACTTGCTAGTTAGCTGTGAGTTTTATAATTTGGTTCCTAATAACTCAAAGCCATTTGTTTTAGGTAAGATTGACATTCTGAAGATTGTAAATTTCAACAAGAGTTAAATGTTATAAGTTAAATGAGTTAAGATAATAAACCTTAGG